TTTGTGTCTACTGCCCCCGTTAGGGGCGTAGGACACAATGTCATGATGTAGCAATTAAAGATGGCGGAAAGGGTAATCCGGTTTAGGCATGATGGGTACTATTTGATCTCACTGTCAAATAATCAAAGAGTATCACCACAAGAACAAATTGAGAAAAAAATAATAAAAAGATTTCAAAATTGTTCAGAATGGTCATTTCTATTTATTCAATAATGATTATGAATGTTTGAATTCTAATAATTATAATAAACTGTTACTTTCAACACCATGCCATGGTGTGCCCTTAGAAGTGTCAATAATTGCTGACCTACAACCAATTCTATATGAGTGGTGGTATTGGTATTATTTTATGTCTCCTCAATCAATTGGATCAACCCATCTAACAGGACACACTGCACATACTACTGTCTGACACCTTGCAATCCAGAAAATTTCCTTTTGTTAGCAGTGGATGTAGTGAGTGTATCTTCTAATCTCCTACAATCCAAATTTTTGTTTTATACATTTTCTCATTCTGTTTCATACTGTATACAACGAAGATATCAAACAGCATGTCCTGAGCTTTGTTTAAAATCCCTGATAAGTCTACGTGTAGAATTGCCTATAATTCAACTCATATTTTGTTCATTTCATTTTCCGATTGCATTCTTTTATTCAATCCAGAGACACTACTATAATTAAAATATTATGCCTCAATACCTTTTCAGCCTGTGTGTACATTCCTACAATTTCCACTGTAAACTTGTCCAGTATTTGTTAAGTGTAGTATATTTTTCCACTCATAAATTGAGCTTTATTAGCTTCAGTCTCATACCTGCTTATAAGAAGCTATGGGTAGTCGTGCATTGCTGTGTTACCGCATTATTTATAATATGAAATTGTGCTTTTAAACGTTCTTGTTAAAATTTAGAAACAATGGGTAGGACAGACAAAACAAGTCAAACTTTAGTTAATTGATTTTCATATGTATTTGATGTGTTTTGTGATGTTAATGTGTTGATACTTAAGTAAATGTTTTTATGTATTTTGTTTCCACGTTTCGGAGGTTTAAAAAAAAAAATTGAAAAAAGATGTTTTTAAATTATGGGCATGTCATTACTGGGCATCTACAGACTACACAAATCAATGGTGATGTTCGTAGTCTATGAGTGAACAAAACAATCCGAAGAGGCTTTGTCTCTTTAAAGGTAGACCACCGGTGGTCTGGTGGCTCCACTACGGGCGTGACAACGTGCACCAGTGTTGTTGAGACAAACACAGTTGACTAAAGACATGATGTAGGCCTTCACCGTGTTTGATCCCCCTCATCATCACCCAAAAGAGAGGCCATGTCCCAGGTTCAATTAAATTTAATTAGTCTTTAAAATGTTGACAAAAGCTTTAATTAACATTTAGTCTGAAAAATTGTAATTATTATATTAGTATAAAAAAAAAAAAACGTTTCAATAAAATGAAAATTTCTTTGTGTTAGCATACTCTACCCAAGCGGAAAATAAAATAGATTTCAAAGCATGTTCAGAGAGTATGAGTTAATTACTTTTACCTCCATGCTTTTACAATTTAAGCAACAATACTAAAAATACAAATTATGAATGTTAATTTTTTAGTAGAGATAGTAAATTGAAAACCAGGTTTAGGAAGTTATATTCTTTCTAGGAAAGTTTCAGTGGATTTTGTCTATACTGAACAACACAACACTAAGAACACAACATTGAAAGGTGATAATTATGTCACTTGGGTAGAGTATTTGAATGCATTGTGAGAGAAACAATAGAAATCACATTTTGTAATCGCCATAATAGAAATCTGAACTGTACAGATTTTTGTGGCCACCAGCAAACGACTATGCATACATAATGTATGAAAGCAATCATTAAGTAATTAGGTATTTAGAAAACAATCTAGAAGTTACAGTGAGTTAAAAATAATATTAAACTTTAGTCAGTTTTAAATGAATAGGCTAATGAAGTGCTAAAGAATCCTACCTGCTGTTCATGTAATATCTGCAGAGGCTTCTGTGGTCTGACTGATGGAGATATCTCAAATAGACTGTGAAGTCCCTAGTACATAAGGCATGCATGAAGTGCATACAAATTAATAAAACTTTCCCACAGGAAGTCACACATGCCCAAATCAAAATAAATTTGAATATTTCTTAAAATGATATGATATTAGTAGTTTTGTTGCCAGCCATTATTAATATAATGGGGGACAAGGCAGGAGCATGGCATAGGAAGGAAAATGTTAGGAAGTAAGAAAATATAATTAGCCAAGGATCATATCCTCAATAGAGGCAGATCCAGGATTTTAAGCAAGGGGGTTCAATTTTTTCCTTGAAGTACCCAAAAGAAAGGGGAGTCCGGGACCTTCCTCCGTGAAAATTTTCATTCCTAGATGGCCGGAAAAGATTTTTCAAAACTACTGAAGGTCCTTTGACTTTTAATTTCTTCAAAATTCAAGGTTTTCCCCTCTTCCAAAAAAGATCATGTGATTTTATCTCTTACACAGTAAGTAGCCCTATGTGTGTAAACATATAGAGAAAAAGAAAATAGACGATATATTATTTTATTTCAAAGATCCCAATAAAGAGACCTTGCTGAATCAAATGGCTTAGAATTTAGTCCCTGGTTATGATAAACAATGGTCGAACCAAAACAACGTTTTTAATTTTATTTAATTGAAGGCTAATTAAGCTAACGTTAGCCTGTCCGATCTGCCTACCTAGTCCTAGGTGGTTTCAGCATGCCTTTTGTAGGTCCATGCAGTACCGTACAGTGGCGGATCATGCAGGAATTCAAAACTGAAGGGCACACAATGGAGGGTCTACCACCATAGTTGGGGGCTGGGGTAAGAAAACTTATGATTGTGGCACCTCTAAATGGCTGGAAATGGCAATCTCAGATTTAAATTTGGATATAAAATAGGCGGCCTCCCTTGTTATGCAGGCCTGTAACTACAGAAAGTAAATGGGTGAAAGTTTAGAATGTGTACAGTATGTTCAATTTTCCATCCAATGCTCCAGCGTACTGTATATCTAGTGACCACCTTTTTAAAAAATTCAAATTTTTCATTTTCATTATTAAATCAAATAGATTTTGTTATTTGTTATATATACAGCGCATTTCTTTTAGGTTTTGAAACACCTTGTTTTCCCAGGTCATTGGGTCCACAGACTTGTGTTACTGCCTTATTCACGCACTAGCAAGCAACCTCACCAATACCCATTTATACTAATGTCAATAAAGTGCATTGCTCAAGGAAACAAGCGAAATACAGCCAAAACGTTCCCGCTGTACAAAATCACTTCCAGATTATGTAGACAAATGAAAAGCCAGCTAAGAAAATGTGTGGCAATTAAGCCATCCCACTAATTAATTTTTCTGTATCTAGGGGATGTGTTCACATCCACCAGTACACAATACAACACAATACAACAAAATGCAAGTACCTGAAGGCAGTTGTCATAACTACACAACTATACCTTTCAATTATGCCTAATGAGTCTCACCTGAATTAACCATTCATGTATTCCTCAAATGAAAGCTAATTCACAATGCTAACATATTAATCATACTGTTTATCTAAGATGCTTTAAAAAAAAACAGACTTGCTAAATCACTTCACTAAAATATTAATCACAAACAGGCTTCCATTAAATATTTATACTGAATGACATTGACACATAATATTATCATGATGAATAAAAAGTATAGCTGCTGTATAAATTTAAAAACAATACAATGATGATGATTCAAAGAAAAAACATTTTTCTCAAGCTTTCATTAAATGGTGACAGCCTGCAAAGTCCACCCTCCATGGATGACATCTAGAGATGTTCCCTCACCATTTGTAATATATTGTAATTTTTTTTTTTTTTTTGGTAGAATGTGCCATGATAATTGCCAATTTTTATAAAAATAAAGGTAATCTGCATAAATCCATGCATGCAAATAAGGTTTATAAACACATTGATTTGCATAATCTTGCTAAAATTAGCCAACTCTCATGCACTAAATTGAGGGACCATTTTCCATAAAAATTCATTAAATCAATTTACAAATCCCTTGTTACAATAATATTAAGCAAGTATGTGTATTGAGGATGGAATTTCTAGTAGTCAATTACTAACTTATAATGTACTACTTGCTATTATTTGTGGTCACTGGAGATGATACACAACTCAGTTCCTTGGGCAGTATTCAAGCCTTTCAGATTTGCTGGCAATTATGTGGTAATATCGCTAACTAGGTATTATGCAAATATTAGCCACTCTTTATACGAAAAGGTTGGGTACTACTATGGTCTCACATTCAGATGCTCATAGTAAACTAAAAAAAGCATGTTCTTTATCACTGTTTTGGCAACATTACAATAGCAGCTAGACCTATTACTAGGCCTGGTACCATAGGGGTTTATTAACTGGCTGTGTTATGTACAGTACGTACAATATTTTAATGTTCTTTGTATTGCATTCCAAGAGGCTTTAAGTCACCAATTATATTGTGAACGTGAAAAATGTCTTTATCCTACAGTATGCCTATTTTTATGGAAGGATATCCAAACAGTTATATTACTAAACATACTCACTGAGGTTTCATGACTTTGTAGTATGAATACCATGCAACGTTCACACCTTATTAACTCCATTGCCTCCACCATTATCTGGTTTACCATCTTCTGCAGGTCCATCTGTTCTTCAAAAATACCTTTAGCAAGTTGGAGCATCATCTGAAACATGAAATTCAAATTATATTTAAACTATTAGTAAACATATCTTAATACCCATCTCCATAACATTCATTGTCACAGTGTATATACCTTAACTACCATTTCTTAAAATACGGGAACAAATTCATATGGTGTTAAATTAAATAGCCTTATTTTTGCTTTAATTTGAAATGCTTGTATTGCAAATGAATTGAATGGCTTTAACTGATTTATAAATTAAATGTTTGATCATAAAATCATTAAAGTGTGAATTTTACCTGATTTCGTTTATATTCATTGATTGACATTTCGAACAGCTGAGCATTCATGATTCCTATCCCACAGAAGGTGAGGTAATTCCTGAAAACCTAATCAGATAAGAAATAAAATCTAATTTATCATACATCTTAATTTTTACAATCATCGAGTGGAGTTGCGACACACAATTAACAATTAGTCCTAATTTTATATAATTCTTGGACGAATTTAAATGGCATGCCTATCCACTCTTATGCAGCGGTCTGCAGGGTCCCAATCCCTATCTAGTACCCTGACCCAAAAGAGCTTTGTTGATACATAACGGTATAATGTGTCTCTGACATCGACTGTAGGACATATATCTAGTGACTGATTAAAGGTGGCCCCGTCAGGCCAGACCCCCCAAATTATAAAAAAAAATGAAGAAAAAAGAAAATTATATTCAAATTCCAAGTCTGTGAGTGCTATTTCTACCTCAGCCTCAAACATGTTGGGGCTGAGGTGGTGTAGACCCTCCATCTGTGAATGTTCCTCCCTGGGGCCCCTTTATTTCAAATTCCTAGATCTGCCACTGATATAATTTATTTTGTCGTTAAAAACATTAAGAATAAAATGACAAACATAATAAAAAAAACGAGCAAACCTAAAATCCCACAATGGAAATTTGGCGACTGGGGGGCCAAAAAGTTCCCCCAGTCTCAGAAAGCCAAAGGACCTCCGGCCCTAGCGTTACAGCAATGCTTCCTTAAAGCATTTGAATTCAAAAACTGTGTGGGGTGACAATTACTACTACAGCACGGAAGAGCTAAAGCGTGGACGATTTTAAATACTTTGATGGAAAAATTTTATGTTAAGTGTGGTTCAAGGAACATTAACAGTGCTGTGTTTTGTCACCGATCATTTTTCAGTATACTGCCCTTGCGTAGTACTCTATTCTGTGGTAGTGGGATTTTTCTGTAAAATGGAATGAAGGTTGTGAAATTTTGCTCATGTTTTTGCTCAATACTCATGTTCTTATCAGTTGCCTATTATTAATCCAGAGGCTAGTAAATATGCTCCATTCACAATAATGGGTATACAGTATAAATGAAAACAATGGTTTCTTCCAACATAACTGGCATTACAGCCTGTATACTTTAATTTATATACCACATGCACAGAGACAGGGTCCTTAACAGTTAACAGATTTTTTATTTTAAATGAACAGAATACTAACTTATATTCAGAGTTGCAAACTTGCTTAAAGAGCAATCAAATCTTACAGAAAACAATAAATAGAATAAAAAATACCTAAATATGGCAGGTTAAAGAAAAATGTTGTGGGTGTTGCATCTGCATTGCCTCTGTTATCAACTTTACTCATGGGGACAAATAGACAATCGATATTAAATTCAAAATTAATTTGTCAATGATGTGGAGAGGAAATATATTTTTCTTAAAGAATTGAGAATTGGTAACTTTAAAAAAAAATCATCTTATTATTAATATTATTTTTATTATTATTTATTGTTAATTATTATTATCTTCGCCAGAAGATATGCAGTGGCGGCGCCAGCGGGGGGGCTTAAGCCCCCATCGGTCTGGTCAAGCCGCCCAATCGGCCAAAGCTCGTCGGGCAGTCAGACCAGAAAACAAACAAAAAAGGGCCTAGTTTTCCCATCCCAACCATTTCCAGCCATCCAGAAGTCACAATTTTTTTTTTTTTTTTTAAATCTCGTTTTGGGAGGAGGGGACTCCCCCTCCCATACCCACCCCCGGCTCCGGCCTTCGGTCTTCAGGTAAGGCTGCGTGCTATAGTTACACCCATAAATACTCAGCCCCCACCCAAGTCGACATCTTAGCCCACCCATAAATTATATCCTAGAGCCAACACTGGATATATGTTTTCAGCCGTGTAAGTTTCGGCTGTCCCGAGGCAAAACAACGTAACTGACTTTTTTGACGATTTTGAGATAATATCATTTGTTTATTTATTTTATTTTATTTATTTCCAGGCAAGACAATACAGTACAATAGATAAGAGAAACAAATGACAAAAAAAAAACAAAAAGCCTGAGGATTACCTAAAAGCGAACTTAATCACTATCTAAGGCTCTCCAAATCATTAAAAAGACAAACATTAAAATCTGAAAAATTCACAAATTTGGGAGTATACTAAACACGTCTGAATTACCTGTGAAACTTTCAGTTCTCAATAATGAGTCGTTTCGGAGACAAAACTTAAAACCCAGTGATTTTCCGTGGCAAAACAACGTAACTACAAGATTACGCGGCAAAACAACGTATCTGCAATGAAGATACTGTGTTTTGCCACAGAATGCTATTCAAAAATGGCATAGAGCCGATGGAGTTTGGCAAGGCAAAATCAAATGGTTATTTGTGTTTTTATATCACCAATGATGAAATGATTAAATTTTGGTAACGGTCCGAAGTAGGCTGTGGATATAAGGACCATTTAAAAGGAAAATGTCCTAGACCAGATATTTAAAAAACTAATCAACTGATTTGAATGAAACTTTCGTAAAAGTTAACCAAGTCACAGCTGCGAAGAAATTCTTTAAAGTTGAACACGATCCAAATTCAGGTGTGAATTTGAGGGCCATTTAAAGTGCAAGGTCCCAGACCTAAATATCTCTAAAAACTTATCAATGAATCTAAATGACACTTTCCAGAATAGTTTGTTATGTTTCAATTTTTATTTTATTTTATTTTTATTTTATTGAACTTTATTTAATGAAGGTAGCCCTTACAGCTGAAAAGCCCTCAACAGATTTCCACGAAACAAAACAAACACATACAAAAAAAATATTGGTGTGGATATGATGACCAATTAAATAATATGTTTACCGTATACCATAGGCAGATACAATAGGCTGTACAGTATGATTAATGTACAAATTAGTGCAATTACAGTAAATGTGTACAGCATTATATTACAAATATCACTTTTTTGAGAACTGATTGGGAGTATCTTTAATGCATCCTTATATTTAAACATGTGATACTAAAAACCAAAACTGTACCCCATTCCCCATATTCTTATTAAATTTGACTATTCGCATAATATTTCCATTTCAACACCAAAACTTGGCATGTATTTGTTTGTCAACTATAAGAGTAAAACATTCCCGTGTGTTTAACCAGCAGTAAGGAATTGGTAGGTACAGTTTACAACAAACATGATAAAAAGGATTTTCAGATGGCCGGGTTAGTGTAATTTTTTTTAAAGTTAGATGGTGGTTGGAAATTAGGTGGAAATGTTTCAATACTGTATGTTGCTTGTATTCTGTATTCAAGATGTAACATGTGTAGTGAAAAGTAGGCCTACAGTGAATTTTGGCAAAGCAATTCGGATTAAAAAATTTGAAAATGCCTACTCAAAAAAAAAAGTTCCCAAAAAAAGACTGAAAGTGGAAATAAAAAGTGTTTGGGCAAGTTAGTGTGTTTTTGAAGAGGAGCAGAGCTAAGTGAGTTGGGGTGGTGGTTTAAGTAAATTAGGGACATATTATGGGAGATATATTTTATACTATTATAGAAAGGGATTTGCAGTGGGCAAATGTATGCTCTTTACTGAGTGAGTGCTGTTGTTATTGTCATTTTCATGTAGCACCTAATATTATTTATAGTAAGAAATTGCCATAATTATCAGGGGGATGATGTTTAGGTTGTAATTTTAATTAACTGCATATGTGCCTTGGTTTGTATTGAACTGATACAATAAAGAATATGATGATATACAGTTGCTAAGTTTACAATTGTTTAAATTAGCCCAAATTTTATTTCAATACTCTAAGTAGGGTAGGACCAGAGTACGGTACAGTATAATGAAAATTATATTGTAAGGCTATGTTTTAATATGAATAAAATATAGTGTATTGAATTAATGTTAGAAATGTGTAGCGTAATTATTCTATGTCTGAGATTTGTCAATAAAGATTCCCGGTAATTTGCTGTAATGAACTTGTGAGATAAATTTGTAGGAAGAAGTTGGAATATTGACAATTACTGTGTCTATTTTTTAATATAGGCCTAATGTATTTGGTTTTATCAATGTTATGGGAAAGTCTGTAATATTTGAACCAAGAAACATGGGATAATTTATGGTTAGGATACAAGAGCAGAAACGAGATTGGAAAAATATACATTGCCATTCAAATATAAAATAAATGCGATAGTGTAAATGGAAAATAGAGTTTTGTGGTACACCACAGATAATTGCGTTCTGCTATTTAAGTACCTCAATATAGATTGCACTACTCATTCCTCAAATACCAAAGCGACTTAATTTATGGAGTCAAATGTTATGGTCAATGGCGTTGAATCCAATGGTTTTAAGAGGTCTAAGAATGTATACCCATGGTATTTTCTTAATATTACAGTACCAAGTCTTGTCAAGCAATGTCATTGCATATTTCCAATACAGCCATGACGTACAGTATTTACTGTTAAATCCATGAATATGGATTGCCTATGAGGAAGCAGGCAAGAGACAAATACTATAGATGATTCATTCAAGTTCATTGGGAACTGATATAGGACAGTAGTTTAATAATTAAGTCTCAGGAGGCTAAACATTGGCAACAAATAATTTTGCAGGAAAAATACCAGGAAGAATGAAAGTGTTAAAAAATATGTGAACTACTGTAAAGAGATGCATTACACGAAGGGGTGAATTATTTTTGATATCACCACATTTGAAGTATGCAAATAAAAAACTCACTCACACCATGGAGGAATTAGTTTAACTTTTGTTCTATAAAATTGTCGCCTACACACAGTAATGGTACACTTACAGTACATAGTGAAATATACAGTGGTACTGTAAGCTTAAGCATGTTAAAGGTGGCTCCCTTAATTATAAGATTAACTAACTACTGTAATTGTACATTATGGGCAGCATTTTATAAATAAACTTATAAAATATTTTTAATAATTTGGATTTTGATACTCATCATTTCTGTGAACTGTGATCTAGATGGAATACAGTAGTATGCCTCACAAATAATAAACAGTTAACTTCTAAACATGTTGCAAAAATCAATACAATGATATAATAAACGGTAACGGTACCATACAGTAATTACGGGGATCCAAAGTTGGCAGAAGTCCCTTCTAGGAGATCTGGTTAAACAAAAGAGCTTAAACACATTTTAATTTATTCCGCTGCAAAACCATTGGCCCTGACTTACGGTGAGACAATTGATAATAAAGTAAAAAAACATGCAAATATATTATGAATATGGGGTAGATTGGATATTTTCTAGGAGATTCCATGCTTGCTTGCAGGATTGTGGGAGGCCATCTCCATTTGCGGGAGACTCATGCGACTTGTAGCATTGGCTTTCCGTTTCTGACCGTCTCAGATTCAAGGCTCTTCTTATTACTTCCATATTGTCTCTGAGACCTACAATTTCTATTTAAATCGGCCATTTATCAGTTATCTTCGTTCTTCTGATTAGTTTATACTC